TTTCACCAAGGGTTCAGAAAGCTGCTGAGGCCAAGGTCGGATTCCCAGCACTGCGTGTGACTCTGACAGCGAAGCCTAGGAAGCAGAGGGGACGACAGCTGGAGGAGGCTGTCGGGACCAAACGAAGCCAGTCCAAGAGAGGCCACGGCTGCTGCAGGCATGCCGACCCCTAGTCCTTTCTGAACCCAGATGCCAGACCAAAAGCTGTAGGGTTTACTGTTTACTCTACTGGCTTTTGTTTTTGTTTTGGTCTAAACTTTCTTTGCTATGTCCCAATCCCTCCCTTTTTAGAATGGGAGTATTTCATCTGTGCCATTAGACACCAGAAGTCTGTAGCTTGTTTTCGTTTGTTTGTTTGGTTTTGTTTGGACTTTTCAGGGACTCGCAGTTCCGAGACTCCTGACTCATAGAGGAATGTTTCCAGGCTTCTGCCCTGAACTAAAAACCAGTGAACCTTGCGGGGGTTTTTGGTGCCAGACTGGGACTGCTGAGGCACCTAGCTTTGTGGATTGAGCAACCATGGGCTTACCTCCCTGAGAGACAGCTGCCGTGGGAGTTAGCTCTCCTGCTGAGGCACCAAGCTATAAAGACTGAGCTTCTGCTTCCTCAGCCTCCAGGTGTGATTCAGCTGTTACTATTTTAACATAGGCTGATTTAATAAATTATTTTATGTTTTTTTTTCTGTCAAATTGGTCCTGTTCTGGTAGAGAACCCTGACTAATAAAATTTTAGTTTCCTTGAAAATAGTTGATATTTAAATTGTTTAATTTTTAAAATCACAAAAGCGTCTCCCTAAAACTTCAATACTAATTCCGACTTTTTTGAGAAAATTAACTCTTAAACAGAATTCCAAAAGGACAAATGTGACCATTTGTTTTGAGAGCTAAAATTCTACCCCTTTTTTATGACTAAGGACATCTCATTTGCAACTGAAATCATGCTAAAACATTGATTTCTAAATACACAAGCCCATCCCTCCAGACTGATGGCTCACAACCATAAACTGGGCAAGGCAAAGCCAGCCAGATCTGTGGAGACTCTAGACACCCAAAGGGAAGCGAACATAATGGTCCCCCAGCAACACATGGGGTCACCAAGCCGAATCCCAGGGAGTGGCCAGTGAGCTTCAGAGCTCTGCATATAGAATGTAAAACATCTGTGAGTCTTAGGAAGTCAGTAGCCCCGACTGGGGTAAAAAAGGGTCAAGGCAAAGTTCTATTTCCCATAGTGGACATACCCCTTCCATGTCATTCCATGTCTAATGGTATGAGAAGAACGGGCATGTGAACTCATAGACAGCACCGTACACGTTTAATGTTCGCCAGTGTCCCGAGGACAGAGCAGGCCCTGTCTGCAGCCACACTTGCCACACTCTGCCAATCCAAAGATGCAATACAGATGTCAGAGAAATCCATGGGAAGCTGGCAGTGGGCACCCTTCTCTCCTTCCCGTACTTGATGCCTCCTAAGCAATCATTTTATGGAACACTGGCGTTTCTTATTTGGTTTTGTTTGGCTTTGGTTTTTGTTTGTGTATTTCAGATAGGCTTTATGTGGTACAGGCTGGCCTTGAATTCATAATCCCGTCTCAGCCTCTCAAATCCAGCCAGTCACTTAGAGAGGAATCTCCCTGGAGTTACCATACCCACAAAAAGCTTAGGACTGACTGTGTCTAATCTGCTGCTGATTTCCTGCCTGACGACTGGCTTATGTGGCCGCCACTATGCCCATTCATGGCTGGCATCTCCACACAAGGCCACAAGGGGAACACAGACCTCAGGGGTTGACCAGCTGGATTAATTTGAACCTAAGCAATTATGTCTTGCACCAGTGCCCACATGCCACCTCTTACTGTGAAGACGCTGGTCTTGGTGGCTTGGCACAATGCCATGTGCAGATGCACCTCTCCACTGGACCCAGCAGCAGCTGGAGGAAGGTGACGTCAGATATGGTAGCCAGTGGAGTCTCTGCAGCGTGAAGGCCGAGCGATTCGCTTTCCAGGGTCTCCTTCCCTGGATGTGGCGAGATTTTTCCAACTTCCAGATTAATTTTTACTTATACCCACCACAGGAACCAGTGTATCTAAGAAGAAATAAAACAGTCTCTCTGCACTGGGTCAGTCCAGAGGGTGCGGTCAGGACGTGGCCTGGTGCAGGGTACTGCCTGGCCTGGAGGGAGTCCTGCATATAGGGTGCAGCGCTCAGCAGGGCAAATGGGAACTGCTGGAGAGGTTAGAACACTGTGCAGCTTCCACGCACAGCTGTGGTGAGAACACACAGAGCGAGTTAGGCATAGGCCCTGAAGAGGCAGCCAGCCCAGATGGACTCAGCTTTGTGCAAAGCCTGCTGGGGTATGGACTGATCTTTGTAGGTGACGAGCAGGCTGTGGGCCGTGTCTCTAGAAGCACTGGGAACCCATAACCTCTTCATTCAGTCACTTATTAAGTGACAAATGTCACATTTAAATAAAACCCCCAAGTTATGAACACATTGCACTTAATATTTTCTGTGCTCTTTTCTAGAGCACTGTTAGTGTACTCCAGAAAACAACAGAGCAGGAAAAAGTCATCCCATGATCCACATCTTCATGTATCACTTGCCATGTGTCCAGTGTTGTTTTAACATGTTGTGGGTCTAAGTGGGGGGCTCTCAGTTCCAACTGTGATGTGTCCACATCAGAGCATAATGTACATAAGAAGGCAGAAGCAAAACGTTGGATTTCCTATCAAACCTCACCAGACACCGGTGTGCTAGTTGCAATGGGATCAAGCTGCAGTAAGATCACTAAAGTCACTTCTCACTAGCATTTTCCCTATGTTCTCAGGACTCTGTGTAGCAGAGAAGTATAGGCCGGTGACACCTAGTAGAATGCTCCACTTGAATGAGGCCTTTGCCTGGCTCTGAGTGAGCCTCCCCAGTGGTTACTGTATCTTAGGACTAATGCCAGGGAGAGGAAGGGGCTCATCTTCTCCTGGGCGCTCCCAGAAATCCAGACACAGGAGCCAGCAGCTTCATCACTGAAATAAGGAGGCCACTTGCTGGTCCACCATCCCGGAGCTACTTACCTCAGATGAATGAATGAAGCACACTTCTGACCAGCGCTTACAGTCGTCTCCATTCTGTGGTTATAATCCTATATATATAAAACCCTGGAATGGACTCGAGTTGAGCCTGAAATAGCCTGGGTAGGAATGAGTTCAAGTCGGTGGGCTGGCGGGTCAGGGCTCACACCTTGCTGGAAAAGGCCAGGCACACGAGGCGTGTGCATCACTTCACACCGCATGGAAAAAGCCGTCTTTCCTGTCAGCATTGTCTCCTGATGATTCTGGCAATTGAATCTCTGTTGATGAATGGCCGAAGACAGTCAGAGAGCTAGGAGTAAAGTCACCAAAGCCAGCTGGGAGTCTCCTGGGGCCACCGAGGCAACCCTTGAGTGCAAGCCGGGCCACAGGTAAGCAGTGAATGGCAGAGGTGCTGGGCTGGGAGAAAGGGGGTGAAACCCAATACCCCACTTCTCCAAAGCATCTATAGCCAAGAAGGGACAGGGCTTTCTGGAGTTTCCATGGGGTTCAGTTCCTATGGACATTAATTTTTTTTTTTCAAAACAGGATTTTTTCTGTCTCTGGCTATCCTGGAACTCACTGTGTAGACCAGACTGGCCTTAAACTCAGAGATCCGCCTGTCTCTGCTCCTGAGTGCTGGGATTAAAGTCATGCGCCACCACCACCTGGCTGTCATTAATCTTAATAAAGGTCACTGTTTAGGAAAAAAAAATTTCAAGGGACGGCCTCTTGTTTGTTAGTGTTTTTTGAGACAGGGTTTCTGTGTGTAACAGTTCTGACTGTCCTGGAACTCATTGTGTAGACTAGGCTGGCCTTGAACTCACAGAGGTCTGCCTGCCTCTGCCTCCCAAGTACTGGAATTAATGGTGTGTACCACCACTGCCTGGCCAATGGTCATGTTTTAAAAAGAGTGGGTAAGTAAAAAGCAGCAAACTGTCTCTGGTATGCTCATGTTTCTTGGATGAAGACCAAGTTGCTTAAGGGAGTACTTAACTCATTAACTAAGGGCAGCAGAACAGACGCAGCCCAGGGTACCCTGTGCCCATCACTCCCCAGGTAACAGCCTAATATCGTTAGCTCAGATAAGACCCATGTGTGTAATTTCGGCACAGCACAGCTGTGAGTGTCCTTACGAACTGGTGGACTGCCACATCTTAGAAGGAAGATTACAAGGTCAGGGAAGCAACTGTCAGCTCTCACAGATCAAGGAGACAGACGCAGCTTTTCATTTTTTCTTTAATCCTTAGCTTTAAGGAAGACTCTATCCCTCCCGGAGAGCCAAACACATCCCCGTTAAAAAGACCAGAACAAATACTAGGTGGAGACTGTGCCTTCCCTGGACCGGCCCCAGAACCACAGCTGCATCGCACACTCCATCCGAATAGAGCAAATTTACTTGAAGAGATTTTCTCCTGAAAGCATACCAATAAATATTTGCACTAAAAATCTCAAACACAAGATGTTTTAATTCGATACAACAGAAGAAACGTTTACTTTAGTTAATCTTTCTATATTAAAAAAAACACCAAGTCTGGTGTACAGTGCACCTCACCTTCCGAGAGGCGACAGTGTAAAGGTCATGAGCCAACACGCGCCCTTGCATCCAGGCACACGGGCAGAGCTACAGGCACTTAGCCCTCGACACAGGCCCAGCGAAGGCAGAGGCTGTGTGTCCGAGAACTCGATCCCTACGTTCTCAAGGCTTTGGATTCCTGGGCCACAGGCAGGCAGCCAGACAACCCAGGGGCTGCTGCTGTGGGCGTCAGCATGATCTGCTTTTCTGTCCTCGCCTGCCGTTACCCCTTTTGGAGACAAGAGAGTCAGAGCCCATGCCCACAACTGTTTACCTGAGAATACTTCAAGATGTTCTAGCTCATATGCTACAGTAGAAATTATACAATGTGCATTGCGAATCAAAATCTCCATAAGTTCACAATCTCTAAGTGTTAACAATTTTTTATTTGAAACCATGTAAAGCCCTCTCAAAACTCATTAGGTAAACTTATTCTATTTTTCGAAACTGCACAGCTCAGGTGATGTGTGGACAGGAGGATGGAGACAGGTGGCTGGCTAGCGAGGCGGCGTACAGACATGTGGACGGACATATCTAGCAGACTTGTTCCATTAAAGACATAGATGCTCCCACACCACGTATGCACCGGGCCACTCCACTGTGCCACAGGAAACACTGAGTGGGACATCCAGGTACATGGAGCAGCACACTGCTCACACGGACAAACTCAAGGGCAGTGTGATGGGAGGGTGTTCATTTTTAACCCAAAAAGGAGAAATACACCGCCTCCATCAGAGCACTGTTAACTGAACAACAAAAGCAACGTGCACCAGCTGTTGCTAAATGCCCCCTATGGAGGTTCCAACCCTGTCAATCCACAGGCCCACAAGCAGGGACAGTCAGCAGTGTGAGACAGGCAGAGCAGGTTGGGGGGGGGGGGGAACACTTCTTACAGGTTTAACGTCAATCATAAAAGTATCTCACTTTGAAAAACTAAACCTCTGAGAGTAATAGAAAAGAGGCACTTCAGTAAGTTATACATAGTCTTAACCCTACAGCGAGCAGGTTGGTGTTTTCGGGGCACAGCTAAGATTATTGGGTGACCGGAATTCACTCATAGGATTTCTCTCATCTTTAAGTTTGAAAATCAACATGTTTTGAAAAAAAAAAAAATAAAGATCCCGTATTTAAAAGTTCAAAAGCAAAAATAAAATTCCGTAAGAGAACCCGTTGCCACCCAAGCTCACACTGGAGGTTCCTCCGCCTCCGCAGCAGTCGGGCCACTCAGAACGCCCTGACATTCTACTTCAAGCCACCTCAGTTGCTTCCAGCAGCCAGATTCTGTTTCGCTTCTGTCTTAATAAGGGAGAAATGAACCTGTTGTTAAGCTGAACGGCCGTCGCCTCTGGGAGATGCTCTTGTGTTCTGACAAGGGGAGGAGGTACCACTGAGGCCACGTTCACACTCATGTCATCACGCGCATGTCACATGCAGAGACAAGATGACCGAGGCTGGCGGGAAACTTAGAGGAGGCTGCGAGTCATTGTTCTGTCTCACGGGACAGTGCCGGCGAAGCACAAGTTCCTTCAACAGACACGCACCCAGGGGGCGGTGTTTCTGCAGTCAGGCTACCGGATGTCCCCAGGAAGCCGTGGCGCATGTGGGTCACTGAGCACAGAACACAAGCGACTCAGTGGATCCCTTTCTTTGACTATGAGAGGGCTCAACAAATGAATGGCGCACTAGTAGAAGGCCACCAAGGCTTGGCGAACCCTAGAAGCAACATGATGTCACAGTGAAAGTCCGTCAGCTCATTCCACCTCCTCACAGGTGTCTGTGAGGTGGCCCTTGCTCTGTCGCCTGATGCTGACCAGCTTCCCTGCTGAGCGGAGGCTCCAGCGGGAGCTGCTGGCCGAGTTGGCCAGACTGGTGTACTTGGTAGAGCCCTTGGTATCATCCTCCCAGCCGGACCAGGGTGGGCAGCTGCTGCTCCCGTCCTCGATGTCGGCTGCCACGTCCTCAGCAGTAAGTTTCGGGGGCTCCCAACCTTCGATCTGGTCTGGTTTTTTAGGCTGGGTGTTCTGCTTCAGAACCAAAGTGTCCCAAAATCCTGATTTCTTCTCTGCCTTCAACTCCTCTTTTAGTCGTAGATTACTTCTGTAGGTGAGAAGTTCAGGTTTGGTCACATGGTGAGCTCATCAAAATGCTACTTTGATAAAGTCCTTTCCTAAAATCCTTAAAGTACTCAGAAAGGCAATAGAAACCTGGGCCTAAGCTTGATATAAACATTAAAAATCATGGGAAACTTAAGCCAGTATAAGCTCATAGAAGCCACACTTTGACTTCCATGAGGCATGAAAAGGACCGATTCCCAGACAGGCGACAAGGAACCAGCTCTCGGAGGCTGGAGGAGAGAGCACACAGGCAAACCAGGCATGAAAAACCAAGGACCAGTCTAGGTTATAAATAAAGAAGAACTCTGCTCACTAAGTGGGTTTTCAGCAGGGTTGCTCCTAGAGGAAGCTACTCCCAGTAGTGACTTAAAGAAAAGGAAGTGCTCAAGACTTGTGTGGTGAAAAGAGAATGGCAGGTACGGAGAATACATCAGTGTCCTGACCGACTGTATGTCAGCATCACTCGGGACACAGGGGTCCGAGACCTAACGTCACATCAGCGAACGACCAAGAGGACCTTTTGGGAAACCGTGGCTCCAGCGCTGCTGTGTCTGCCTCAGTGAGGAAGAGCTGACACCCACGGCCGTAGGTGGTCCTCTGCCCAGAAACACAGCTGCAGGTTTCCAAGACGGCCATCTTACTATAAACAGGAAGTAGTCCTGTTGTATTTTCACCTCCAAATGCACTTCTAACATTGTGAAGAATTTATAGCATATTAATATGACAATATCCCCTCTCGCTACCCAGCGCTCTCTGCTTTGCTGGTAAGGTTACCCACTCAAGATGGCTGCTTGCAACTCACCCTTTGGACTTGGGAGATTTGGACGTCTGGATCAGATGCTGTTCATCATCTTTATTAAACAGAGAAGTTACTTCCTTCCAGCCTCTGAGACTTGCTCCCTGAATAGGGGAAAGATGAAGAGACACATCACACCTGATGCCATGAATCCACAGATCTCAGTTTCCGACCCCACAAGTCAGTCTACGGCTCACTGATGGCGATACAGCTCGGAAGATCTGGCACCAGGCGGCTTCATCACCATGGTAATAGCACAGAGTGGACGTCTCACACCTAAACAGTTAACCTCTGACACACTTAGGCCACACGACACACACAGCCTAGATTAGGACCCTAAGGCCGTGGATAACACACTAAGAAACAAGGCCTGAGCACAGTAAAGAGATAACGGGCAACACGTGTCAGGTGCCAAACACAACTGGACCTGCATTCTGGGCTTTGCCACAGTGCACTGGGCCATGTGGGGTGCTCACACCATCACCACCAACATGGAAGGAATGTGTTCTGCTGGTGACCATGGCTGAGACATTACTGGCAAAGGGCATTTCCAGCCCCGTTACAATCTCATTGGCATGTTGACAGAAATGCCCGAGGCTAAGTACACCCCCTGACCCTTCCACAGCTATACACACTATATCCTACCTGCGCATCCGTGTTCCAGGAAACCACATCCTGGAATGTGCTAGCCAATAATTATGTTTTGCTTGTGGAAGGTTGTGTTAAAGAAGCGTAGTTATGGCCTGAGGAAGATTACAACACAGGAAGGAATCGGGGAGCCTGGCACTGAAGGGGACCAGGGCTATTTACAGGGGGTCACCAGCCCCAGCCTCCACAAAGACAAGCTTTGGAAAAGAAATGATATGTTTTATTGATTCTGGAAATATCCTGTTATATCATTTCATTTGTGAAACCAGGATCTTACAATGAAAATCACTGTAGATTTATTTCTTAAGTAACTTACTGGGCAGAAAGGAATAGGCAGAGGCCCGCGTTCCCTGGAAGTCTAACTGTTGCCCCCACATCATCAGCCCTGCTGGTTTGAGAAAAGGGAACTGTCAAAGGGCTTGGTAGACTTTAAAATTTGAAATGTTAAGAAGGAAATACAGAAAAGGGAGTCATGAAAATGGAGCTGAGAGGCTGTGGAGACCTCTGGTACGAGACAATGTAATAGAAATGTTCAGTGAGCCCTTCAAGGCATACAGGTGCGAAACCATCAAAACATATTCGGGAACCCCGACTCCGCTCTCGGCTCCTTGTCAGTCTAGACCTTAGGAACCCCCTCTTGGCAGGGGTCTGTCTCCAACTGTCAGGACCTCCGCCAAACCCATAGTGTTAGGATCCTAAGTGATGCCAAAGGAATCACTACAGCAAAAAACGAGAGAACCCAGGAACGGGATGCCAGTTTACCATTCCAAGTGCCTACGTAGATACCCAGCGAGCAGTGAAAGTTACACAAGTGCTGAGGAGGCTGGTGTTGTGTCCTGTGCTCCTCAGCTCCGGGTGAGGGCGCTACATTATTCTCCATGAATCAGGAATGGAATCCAGACCTCATTCACTGTGCCTAGCACTAACTGACCCCAGAGTACCTCTCTGGAATCAAGTCAGAGAGCTGCAAAACAAACACTGTGACTCCCCGTGAGGACACCCTACTGAAGCAGCAGCTACGACACACAGGGAGCCTGAAGCAAGTTTTGGGGGGTATTATGTTCACCAAGCCTCCCCTGTGGACCCCACGAAGCACAAACCTCCATCAAACCAGGCCAGCTGACTCACTGGCTTGGCCCTCCCCAGCTGGGGCTGCACATTCCACTGCTCCCTGACCATGGTTGCCAGGGAGCTGCTCTGCATCGGAAGACAAGCCAGCAAGAGAGGGACCTCAGGAGCTTTGCTTAGCACCCAATGCGTGCTTCCACTGGTGTTATTAGGACGGAGCCTGCAGCCAATGGGATTTAAACGAGTAGCCTCGATGAGGGACAGTGAACAAATGCAGGGAAACTATACCCATAGAGGGAAACTTCCTAGAGACAGAGTGAATGGAAAAGGCACTCTTCAGGAAGGCTGAGTCATGTTCCTCCCTCAGAGTCTGGAGAGCGAACCACGGTCAGAGGACTGGAGGGGTAATAGGAGGTTGCAGCTGTAATGAATACAGATAGGTTAAGGAGGCCAGTGGCCAGCTGTGGGGCAGCTAGAGCCTGCGGTGTTTCCTGTCCAACTGCCTGTTCAACAGCTAAAGTTTTCTGACAGCGGGCCTTCCCAGAGCCCTCTGGTGTGACTTCCAAGTATGCACCATGCCAAGGGCGGCAGAATTTACAGGCAAAGCAGAATGGCTTAGGCTGTACTGGGCTGGTTTCAAGGCCAGAAGTCTCCTTCCACTTCCTCTGGCCTGTTAGCATTCTTATTTATCAACTCCACAAACATTAGAAACCCCCAGTCATAGTTTTCTCAACTCTCAATCAAAATGCCCGAAGTCTTAGGGATTTGGACTTTGACATTCTCTAAGTCTCTTTTCAGTGAGGGGCGCCCTTGCCGCGCCACTGAACACTGTCCAAGATTGCTAGCTGGCACACTCAACGTGGTGTCAGCTCTGCCCGGGCAGAAGGGGTTATCCACGTTTATTAAGGTCATACATTTTCCTGGATTTGGACCAAAAGGGACTCCAGGACTCACTGCTGATGTTTTTCCCGTGGGTTAGTTCTGTTTTTTGGAGACCCTACAGCAGCCGGCCACATCTGCACCACTAGCAAGGATCAGATACTAGTCAGTGAGAACACTCTGGGGAAGAGTTGACCCTGAGGCTCAAGCCCCATCAATGCCCTAGACACCTGGGGACACCGGGCAAGAAAGAGTCTCCCAGGAGTCAGGAGCGGAGGGCATCCTACAAGGAGCAGACAGAAGCTTGCAGCCGGGTCATACCTACTCTGCCCTGTGAGAAGATCGGTATATACATTAACTCACTATGATCAAACATACCAGACAAGAACTCATACAAAGTTACCAAGGCACCAATGTTCTCTGGTCCCTGTGCAGGGCGCATCCCTCAAGGAACAAAGTCTGGATCCCGCCCCCAGTCCGAAGGCTAAGTCCTTTAAACGGCACAGCGGCAGTGAACCCTCCATCGCAGCTTCGGGAATGGAGCATTAGCCCACACACTTTCCACTCTGAGTTAAGAGCACATGGCTCTAACCACACATCAGTTCCCAGCATTCTTGCAGAGCAGGGCGACACTTCTGACTCCCTGGTCCTGAGTTTCTCCAGAGGGTGGAGGGATATATGGGAGAACAGCTCTTTCTTTTTTCTGAGTTCCCCCACTACTGTGGTGCAGAAGTTTCTGGATCCCTCAAAGGCCATGCTCTCTAAAACAGCACACTCCAACCTCCATCTCACACAGACTACTTCTGTCTATAGCACCGTTCTCACCTGTCACCTGCTGTGGGGAGCAGGGTAGCCCTCATCCCCAAGGGCTCCAGGCAACCCCATCCCTTGGATCTTGTGTTCTGTGGATCTATGAATCCTCTCTCAGCTTATGTGACTATCAATGGCCCAGTACCCACAGCCCTGCCGCAGCAACTGTGTGTTCTGTGAGCCAACTCAGCAACCAAGGCACCTCTCAGCCCTGTGATTCTCCTCCTCCACAGCCCACACACAGGCCGGAAGGGTTTCTGAGGTGATGGATCTTGACCCTTTCCACTGCTGGGGGCAGAGATGACGTTGCAACGTCCTTGATCAGGCTAGTGGAACCTGTCTGCACTGCCTCAGTGATCCTGGGAGAACACGCCAAGCCCAGACACCTCCCCAGTGTGAGGAGCCTTCCCTGGGTTTCAAGCAGGGAAAACCTCACAGGAACATCCCACAGATGTGGTAGAGCAGGCGGCCTTGGGTATCAGAAGATGTTCAGGGTCTTAAGACATGGACATGAGGTGGAGCGTACCTTGGTGGGATAAATGGATACCCTCCACTGTGTGGGCCACTAAGAAATTCTCTTCTGAGATCTGTCCTTTGGCTACTCTTTAGGGAAGACATGACAAACCTAAGAAGCAGCCTCCAAATTAGAAAATCAGTGACAATCAAAACCAATGGCAGTGACAGCCAGCAAGGCAAGAAGAAAGGAAGGCCCCAGAAACAAGGGAGGGAGTCCCGTCAGGGTAAGGGAAGGCTGGTTTCTTCTAGCTAGTCTTCAGTCCGACTAGTCGGCCTCACGTGGGAAAGGAGGGACACTCAGCTCACTGGGACTCTCGCTGGAGAGGGGAAGCCGAGGGCCTTGTCAAGGATGCAGAAGCACCGGGGAGAGTCCTGCACGTCCAAGGATGCATCATGAACACTGGACACAGGGAGATAACCAAGAAAGTTTCAAAACCGACCCCAAGGGAAGTGATGAGTTCCAGGGCTATGCAGAAGCACAAAGCCAGCCAGGACTCAGAATTAGTCAGTCAGTCTCTCTCTCTCTCTCTCTCTCTCTGTCTCCCTCTCTCCCTGTCTCTCTCTCTCTCTCTCTCTCTCTCTCTCTCTCTCTCTCTCTCTCACACACACACAACTAAACTTGTTTTCCAAGCCCCGCTATTTATATCTAGAGCCACCACTACATCACCAACAATCTGAGTATCCCCAGGTTACTCCAAGCTCAAAACAGTTGTATTTCTTTGTTTTCCTGCAGATACAAAACTCCAGTTTTAGGGGGGTCACTATTTAAGTGAAGCATATCTGAAGGCTTCATCCGGCACAGGGGGATCTAAGTTGCGCCCCCTTCCTGAGACCTGAGGGTGGCTAGCAGTCCGTGCCACCGAGCACCACAGGCCCATGTGGTGCCTGTCCACAGAGTACCCGGCATCAACCCCCACTGCAGACAAGACAGCGCTGCAATGCTGGATAAAAGCAGCTGTGTAGATATTCTTTCTGAACATGGGAACAAGTCCAAGCGGGACACAGACACGATGCTCTAGTCATCCCGTGAGTACCACACACCTCCCTCTCGCCTAGCAACGCTATCGACAAAAGTAACTTCATGTGTGTGCGCTTTGAATCTGGGCCTTTCACGTGAGGCAAGCACTCAGCTGATGAGTTATGGCCCTAGACATTTTTTCTTTTTTATGATAGATTCCCACCA